TCGATTTATGATGGTACCGTTCTGGGGATTTTCCCCGCCCGTTTCTGGAGTGACATCCATCAGTCTGGAAGGGAAGCGGTGACCACCAGTTCGGGATCGATTTATGGGCAAATTCGGATTTTCTTTGGGGGAAAGGGAGGCGCGGGTCGATCCGGTTCGGAGGAGTTCCTCGTAGCGATCATCCGCGACATCAGTGTACCACTGGCCGTTCCGATCCCATTAGCTGTGGGTTTTACATAGAACAATGGGGGTTTGGTGTAGGGTGGGCGGTGGGGGAAAAGGCGAGTGACAAAATAGGGGTTATCTTGTCCAGGCCGTTCCCCCAAAATTTAGCAGCTGGCAGTGAACTTTAAATAGTCTCTTTGCTTTAAATATTCTTCCCGAGGAATAACTTAATTAAGTCTATGACTGGGAATGCTCCCGATTTAGTTTCTGAAACGGGCAAGTGAAGTGTTCATTTTTCCTTTGTCAGTAGATGAATGTCTTGTAATATTGACAAAAGAGAAGGCAATTCTTAGTTGAAGAGAAAAGGTGTTTGATTAACTCCTTGCTTACCTCTTGTAAAAACGGATGTTGTCTCTGACACTACAGAAAATTGCTGGAAAGATAATATCAAGGCTTATTATATAATCTTTAGGGTTTATTGTAAACAAAGTAGCTTTGCTCGAACATCTCTTTTAGGTGCTGTTTAACAGTTAAAGTAATTGCGTTTTTTTCCGAATTAGGAGGGTATGTTCAGAATGACATTAGCAGTGAAAAATGAAACCATTCATAAAGCTGAAGTTACCTAGGGGTGGGAGGGAAGCCATATTTATAACTACTTTAGTATTCTGGATATTGGAAAAGGAAGTGGATATTTATTCAACATTTTTCTTAGATTTGCTGAGACATCTTTCTAAAAAAACTTAAAATGGACTCTAAGCGTAAGATAGTAATTCTGATCAATTTGGAATGTGCGTTCAAGTGCTCATATGCAGCAGGAAAGCAGTACAGATATCTGCAGAAGGTAGGGATTTGAGAACCTGATCCTCTGGGTGCTGCATGTATTGAAAAGTACTTTTTAGCAGAATGGATAATCTGGTGACATTTGAGAAATCAGCGTCTGGAGATACTTTTGACTGTTATTTAATTACATTTCTCATTGAAATATTATTCCGTAATAATACATCTATTTTAATAATTATCCTCGTTAACTACCCATATACTGTTTTTCAAAAGCTTTAAGCCTTCTTCCCATCCCCCAATATTATGTAATTTTGGGCATATTCATAAAATCCCCAATCCCATGAGATTAGACATTTGTAGTACTGTTTTATAAAATTCTGGCGACTTTAAATTATTTTTAATCTCCCTGAGAGAAGCCAATTCTGTTTTCATAAGTTACCGTTTTAAGCTATAAAAACGTGCACATTTTATTAACTTTGATTGTACATTTTATTTAAAAACTATAGTATTGTATATTGGCAAGAGGTACTTTTAACAACATTATATATCTCAGGGTCAGATTTTAATTTAGGCTAAGAACAATTTTAGAAAAATTATGTAATTTAAAAATAGCTGAGTGTATATAGTATATGAACATTTCTTAGTCATTTGTGATAGTCTAAAAGTAACATTGCCTTTGGAAAAATAAATGACTTTTTATTTATAATTATTTGGGCTTGTTTTCCAGTAACCTTTAATGATTTTGTTTATAGCATAAACTTTTTTTTAATGGGTCAAATGTCAAGAGAGTTTTTAAATTACTTAAAACAGTTTTGTTTTCCAGAGGGAATATTTTTTGGTTTAGCTTCTTTTTTTATAACCTCACTCTGGTAAAATACTGCATTGTATTTATGAGGTTCTTTTGATCTTATGTCAGTGAAATGTAATTTAATGCATTTTAGGCCTGGTAAAATAAAATTTGTGGCTGTTTAATCTTTTATAAAAGCAGATGATGATTAAATAATTTGTTTCTAGTATTGATTTACTTTCAAATTAAATTATATATTCTGTAACTGAAGTTTCAGAGTACTCTAGGAACCCAGACGGTAGCACCTTCAAAAAAGAATCCTGAGATTTACGGTAAAGTAAGTTTTGTTTAGACATATTTGGCTATTAAAATGAATGTATGTAAATGTCGTATCCTTTCCGTTGCCCAGCTAGCATCATGGAACATGAATAATTAGTAAAAAAAAAATAAATAAATAAAAATAAAAAAAATGAGGCCAGAGGACTTAGCTTCTTAAATTATTGTTTTAGGAAATAAATAGCTGAAAAGGTCATTTCTTTGAGTTAAGGAATTAGTAATGCTGTCCCTGCTGGTGTACCACACTTATGATGAACTCAGCATTTTCGGAATGCGAGGGAGGGAGAAATACTTTATTTGAGGCGTGATTGCATACCTAGGAAAAGGGCCTTTGATGTGTTAATTTCATATTCTAATAGAGTTAAAAAATAAATGCACAGTAAATCTTGGAAGTAATTTCCTTTCACCGTCACCATAAATGAGATAGTGTCCTTTGTGTCTGAACACCAGAAGGGTGCTTGGTGAGAAGCAGGGGGGGTTCATTTCCTTTCTGACTCAATTGCATTTCCTCTTTGCGGAATTTAGGCAACCAAACTCATTTCGTTCCCTCAAGAATGGAAAACTGAGAAGGCAGAAAAGAGTTTGTGTTTTTAAATTCTAAACTCTCGGGATAGGCACTGGACATTTGAAGAATTTAAAAACCAGTTTGGGGTAAGAGTTTGATCTCCAAAAACAGAAAAGCAAAAGGAGTTTTCTTGAATAGGGTTCTTAGTTGGCTGTACTCTGTGTTCAGAAGAACAGAAAATATATACTAGTGTGTGTGCGTGTGTGTGCGCGCGCGTGTGTGTGAAATATATGGAAAACTTCTGTTGGGAATATATGGAAACTTCTGTTGCGTAGAAAACCCAGATATGATCAGTGACAATGATGATAACGCTAAGTTATTGATTACGTACTAGGTCCTGGGCAGAGGCCTTTCCATTCATTGTCTGTTTAATCCTCAAGTACCATATCACATCGGTTCTGCTTTCCCTAAAATTTTGCAGGCGAGGAAACCAAGGCTTAGAAAGGTTAAGCAAATTTTCCCTGGTTACACAACTAATTCAATATCAGAGCTGGCATTAGAGGATTACAAGCAAGGGTCTTACTCCAGAGCTCATGCTCTTACCCATTATGTTTTGTATAATTAAAGTATTAAAAAATATAAACCCAGACGTCGAGATTTGGTTTTCAGTAGGTCATTCAGAAAACATGAATGCCTTAATCACAGGACTAGTCTTTTCAATTAACTGATATACTTGTTTTCGTACATTTCTAAACAGCCTGGTTTTCTTCAAGAGCTACAAAAGTATATATGTAGATGCGTGGGTGTGTATACGTACACACATATATGTATGTCTGCAGATACACACGTGCGTGTGTGTGTGCGTGTAGCACCGGACTCTAATCAGGCGTGTTAAGGTATGATAGTTCTTCATCTACTGGGAAGAGCTCTGAACTGGAGACACTGGAGACCTGAGTTGGATTCCTGTCCTGCCTCTGATGACCAGCATGACCTTGGGCAGGTCACGGTCCATGTAGGTCTCAGTTTCCTTATCTGTAAGTTTAGGGGGTTTGAGTTGATAATTTTTAGGGTCTCTTCCAGTATTATGATCGAAGGGAGTAAAAATTATGAATATAAAGTGTAGTACTTTTGCATGATTATGTTAACGAGCACTAAAACAACAATTTTACTTTAGACAGTGGTCTACTTCATGTCTCTTAGTCCCATGCTTTAATGTGAGTTGTCATCAACTGCCAAAAAGAAGTTAGATCACTACCAAAGCCTTAGCTTACTTTACCTAACCTGTCTTTTTTTTTATTCCTTGCCCGTTTTCGTATTTACTCTGAAGATGTCGAGATTCATGGGGCTAGCGCCTGCCCGCACTCCTGTGAACCACTCATTCG